AAGATTACATCATCAGTGGTCCACAAAAACACTTCATGAGTGTATATGGGGTAGTGTTGAATTTCAAGCCTAGTTCTGGGAAAGGCCCATCCTTTCCTGGCTTTGTATTGGCACAAACAACTTGGGTATAAAAGCTTATGGTTTTCTAACTGCGTCAGTTCAGTTTGGAAGGCTGATCTGTCGGTTGAAGCTCGTTACTGACTGGACTCAAATAAATCCCTCTGGCTGGCCAAGAATCAATGTCTCCTCTTTATTTTTCATCTTGATAAGTGGATCTTCAGCCACTACAAGATGTGATGGTGACCGGTGACTCTTTAAAATGAAGAGGACCATGACTCTGAGCCCGACGCAGTATTTCCACACATTCTTGATAATAGTGCAGCTTAGCAACAATAACCCGCGGCTTATCGCCTGACTGGTTTCCACCTGGAGAGCGATGGGCTCGGTCAACAAGTGGCTCTTTATCTATCTGTAGAACCTCTGCTTGCAGGTTAGCCACTGCCAAAGTGTAGCTGGATTCTGGCGTCTCAGGAACTCCAATAATCCGCACATTGCACCTTCTCATGTGCCCCTCCATATCGTCACACTTCTTTTTGAGCCCAACAACTTCTTCTTTCAGTTCCAACACGGTGGTGCGTAGATTAACAACCTCATCGGACCAGTTTGACAAGCCGTCCTCCACTTCTTTAACGCTCTGTTTCACGTGGTCCAGGTCTGCGCGCAGTAACATCGTGCCGTTAGCCACTTCAGCTCTCACCGCTTGAAGCTCCCCTTTAATAAGAGTAAACTCTTCAGACAAAGCTGCTTTTATTTCGGATTTGATCACAGCTGAGAGATCTGTTTTTATAGCGGCAAGAATGTCAGACTTCAAGGAGAGTGCGTCCGCCTCGCTGCGGGAGGGAGAGGAGGGCCCTGAAAGTCCGGTTTTAGCTGCTGTCTGCTCCAATGCGGCGTCAGGCCTAGCAGTCATCGATTTGGAATGTTTGCCTTTCCTCGAGTTTGTCGCCATTCTTCTACTCTTCCAGGCAAGAATTACTCAGGGGTCGAGTCCGGATGGACCAAATGTTCAAAACAGCAAGGACATTTAGTATAGAACCACAAATAGAACAAGTCGGAGCAGGAGCCACGCGACACACGTCTCACTCCTCCGCCATCTTGCCCCACCTCCTCATAATATTGTTTATTTTAACATTTTTATTGTGAACACCAGGGAGGGCTTAGCCCTACTAGCCCACTTATACCAGCCGTCACTGCTCCAATCAGATGTGAGCGTTTCTCCATTCTGATTGGAAGGGATGCAGAGAAAAGGTCAACATGTGTAAATAAATTAAGTCCCATCTGTCAGTCTCCTGCACAAACCATCCTCCCAGCCTTCATCTGGAGGCATCTCAGGAATGAAAATCCATCAGAACCATGGAGCAGAAACGTCACCAGGANGAGAGACAGACAGAGAGAGAGAAAGTAAGAGGGAGAGCAGAAGAGACAGACAGACAAAAATAGAYATGTCTTTTAAAGGTTTCTGAAGGTTTTTAAGATTAAATTATATTTGGCTGKGAGCAATGCCTGGGACTTGTGAGCCAGTGTTTCAGCCTTTACCTCAGTCCAGAGATCTTCCAAACCAGCTCTGGGCAGACGCTTGTTGCTCAGCGTAAGACCGAAGCCTTCTCGGGGGTCAGACGAATGGGCAATACAGATCCCCTTCTTTTGGACATGGAGGTACCAACAGCATGGCAAGTCGACCAGGAAGTACTGAGGAGCAGCTCACAGCCGGATGTTGGTTTCAGGCGGGACTGCCTGACACAAAAATTGTCTTTCCTTGTAAAAAGGAGAAAACTATGCAGCTAGATGAACTGGAAAAAAGGACTGACTTCCAGTATAGGAAAAGAAGCCCGAGACRGAAACATCAGACAGTTTTAAGAAACAGGAAGAATCGTGTGTGCTTAATGTGATCTGCACGTGGTCAGAGCTCCCGTGAGAACTGTGTATGTGTCTTTGTGTGTTTGTGTGTGTTTATGTCAAGGTCGAACATCAAAATGACACATGAACTCTGTATGAGCAGAACAACTCAACTCTAAGAACCTTAGACTAATATTCTAATTAACTACTGTAATGATTAACTATGAGTTACTATTAGTAAACTAATAAACATAGTTAAACTAATAAAATGATTAAGTAATGTTTATTAAAAACAGAAAATGTAAAAAGCTAGAAGCATAAGCATTGTTGGATGAAACAAACATTCTGTCAACACTAAATCATAATTTCTAAACATGTTCTAAACAATAAAATCACATCAAATGCAAAGTTATAAAATAACTATTACTAGAGAGCCCTTGAGATTAAAGACAAGAGTCACACATTTTAAAGGGTTTATGCATTTGATTTATCCATGTGAGAGGAACAGCAGAAACAAACAGAGCATTTGTTTTGACTTGTTTTATCAGCAAAATAACAGATCCATGAGAACATGAACTTTCCTAGAGAAAAGTGGACAGTGAAAAGGCTTATTTTTTTAAATAGCTCTACATGAGAGCTGAAAGAGTTTAGTCTGTGGAGAGGGGGCTTTGACCTCAGGTGGTCAAAGGTCAATCAGTGGCAAGATGAGGTGAGGGGAAATGGGCGTGTCCACTACAACTGCCAGGTGATGGATGCCTGTTCCCAGGCTTCAAGTCAGGTGTTTTCTCCCTTGGAGGTCTGTCTGGTCCAGTTCTGCCAGAGGTTGGGTCCCTGTCCCCACCCATGGGTTCCGCCCTCTCTCCTGGAGGWCCTGGAGGGTTCATAGAGCAACCCAGTTGGTCAAAAGAGGTGTCAATCCAAACAGAAGAACCTGTAGTATCATTTCACACCCTCTTGTGTAAATTAGAAAGTACCAGCCTTATAGAACAGCCTCTGAAGAGGAGAAAAGCAGACGTGAACCCTGAGCCATGCCAGGGGAAATTAACAAGTTAATCATTGTTTAAAAACAGGTTTAAACCAGTTAAGGTGTCCAGGTTTGAGAAGTGAGTGAGGCCCGGGAATCAAGTCTCCGCCATCTTAGAAAAGAGTCTAATTTCACCAAATTCAGTCCTATGTGATGTCATCGAAACGCAGGATGTCCGCTCTCATTGGATAGAGATGAACGCTCCTGATTGGCTGAAGCAAAGTCTTCATTCTCTTTGAAAAAAGTGCTTTAGTGACATCATGTAGTCAAGTAAAATTAGCACCTTTAGAAAATTCATTTTGAACCAATTTTGCATTTAAAACATCATAATGTTAGAAACCTGGTTTTGGGTTGTGTTTTTGTTGTGTACAGTTTGTGCAGATAGTCTGGAGCTGCTGTCACTGGAGGGCGGAACCACTGATTATCACTTACACCTGCGGATCCTCTCCTGCAATCATCCAGGGGATAAAAGGAGTTGGCTGTCAGTTCTCCAGTGTCTAAGTGTTTGCCTGCAATGGTATCTCATGCTCCCACAGTTTGTTCTCTGAGCTAATTTCTGAGAAGTTTTTTCTCCCCTGTGGAACTTTAATATTAACTCCTGCTATCTCCTTCCAAGGCTTCCTCCACCACCTCCTGGTTCATCTACCAGAGTTTCCCTGAGCCTCCTCGAGAACCCAAGATCTCCTGGAGCAGTTCTGAGACTGACAGCTTCAAGGTCTTTGTCCCCGGTCTGCACGGTAATCTGTCCACCCTCCATCGCTCCAACTATCTGGCTGCGTTGCACTGCACTGACTTGTCTTTCAACCACCCACCCCCAACTTGTGGACGCTCCCTCACTACCCAAGTAAGAAGTTTTTTGGTTCCTCATCATTTCCTCAGTATTTTTGTGTTGCTCATCAG